AGAGAGTATGCAAACTAATTATACTTAGAATATCTTGATAGGAATCGCCACAATTCTGGTTTAGATACATAATAAAAATGGAGTCGTGTGTAAAATGTTGTCATTTTACTTGAGGACACAAATTATAGAATTATTAATAAATATTAATCTGAAAATTAAATACAAATGATCCTAGGTGTCCGTTCTAGTGAGTGAAGTAGTTTGGTTATTGTGCCTGACCTAGTTCCGTCGTAAATGCAATATATTGACAGACTAACAGTATGGTTAAAATTGAGGTACTTTGGCATTTATTTAAATTATTCTTCTGTTCTCATGAGCATTGAAATTTATCTCACTCATTAGCGGGAACCATTGCGAATACATTAAGATATAATAATATTCAATTATGTTAGTTTCTTCGATGATTTGTGTCCTCATCTGAAGCTCTGTTACACGGTAAAAATATACATACTAAATCGCCCCCTTAAGTTGGATTCATTCACAAGAAAGAAATAGTACCTATATAAAGCAAACTTTTCCATTTAACGGAAACATGAGAAGCATTTTCCAAGATTATTCCGTTAGATATTTTTACTTTGCCAACATAAATATCTAGTAGAAGCCATTTGTGTTGAAATATCGAATGCAATTTGTAATGAAAATATTGCACTTTTAAAAGACCAACTCATGAATAAAATGCATGTTCGTCTATTTATCGAAGTCACGACAGTAACATATTGCTCTTCTGAATTAAATAGAATTTTAAATCCGATATCAGCTACTGCCTTTTTACTTATGAAACGAATTAGAGGGCTTTTTCGAAGTCATTCGGGATATTTTATCATTCATGGCACGCTGAATTTTATCGTAACTACGATTTTATATTTCGGTACCTCGTTGAGGAAAATGTCTAAAGTGTTTAACAGTAATCGACAGAATCTTAAACAGTCAAATAATTTTTCATTAACTGTATTATTAAGTACTATTAAGGAATAAAAATGTGTAATAATATACATGGTGTTCCTAAATATCATGTACATAAGGGAAGAGGTAATTCTTTGGCTTATTTCATGACTAAAAGTTCATATAAAAATAGGTCCACAAACGCTTCGTTACCAATCTACAGGGTGTTGAAATTTTAAGATTTTTTTAGTTTTTTCTCCCAGTTTTTGAGATATTTAGCTCAAATTTGGAATATAGGTTACGGTGTAGGGCTTACATCATTGGGCATGCCAAATGGTCGCGATGTCTACAGAGTGATATTTTTTCGGGGTTCATGCCCCCTTTTCTTCCCCTGAACTTTTGTGCGGTGCGCCGCTGGTAGATTCTAAAATCAAAATTGAATTTTATGTTTTTTCTCGATAACGGTCGCAGATACGAAAAAATCATAAGAGGCAAAAAAGTTTCTCAACACCATAAAATCCAATTTTGATTTTAAAATCTACCAGCGGCGCACCGCACAAAAGTTCAGAGGAAGAAAATGGGGCATGATGCCCGAAAAAATATTACTCTGTAGAATATCACGACCATTTGGCATGTCCAAAGATGTAATCCCTACAGCGTAACCTATATTCCAAATTTGAGCTAAATATCTCAAAAACTGTGGGAGCTATAAAGAAAAAACTAAAAAAATCTTAAAATTTCAATACCCTGTAGATCGGTAACGAAGCGTTTGCGGACCTATGTTTATACGAACATTTAGTCATGAAATAAGCCAAAGAATTACCCCTTCCCTTATGTACAAGATATTTAGGAACACCCTGTATATGTAGATTATACAGGGTGTTCTGGTATTTTAAGAAAAAAAGTTTCTATAAATGTGTGGTCGGAAACGGTTAGATTCCGAGATTCCGTTCAAAATTTGCAAAAGTATGTAAATATTTGAAATAAATTTGGAAGAGTCAATGTTAGGTTCTTGAAATTTAGCAGTTATTGTACGTTGGTAAAGAGCCTAATTTTTAGTATAAAATCAACTTTTATCTGCCGCCAGTGGCGTAGTTAGGCGTGGTCAGTAGACGTTTTCGTCACAAAATGTAGAACGCCAATTGATTTTTTAATTTTTCTATTTTCGGACTTGCCTAACATTTTACAACAAAAAAGGTATCTCGAATTTTTTGTCTAATACTAATCTCTTCTTAGAAAAATGGCCGGCAACTACAAACAACAATCATAGAAATAATCAGTTTCGACACAAAATTAAAGCTCCTTCTAAAGCACTCGTTCAAAGATTCCTGGGGAATTTTGTATGACATTATAACTTTGATAAAAAGTGGCAGATAAAAATTGACTTTATACTAAAAATTAAGCTCTTTACCAACGTACAATGATTGCGAAATTTTAAGAACTTAACATTGACTATTCCAGATTTATTTCAATATTAATATATTTTTTTTATTTTCAACACCCTGTATCTTGGAATCTGACCATTTTCGGTAACATGTTTGTACGAACTTTATTTCTTTAAATACCATAAAAAAGTGTATCCTGAAGTTACGGACAGTACATAGGAAACACCCTGTATTTAAAATCTTTTTAATATTTGTTATTATATTCCAATTGATTCTAACTTGCGATCTTTTTCAGTTACCCTGCATACTATTCTCCACTTTCATTCGATGGACAAAACCCAGAGTATCTTTTACAAGCTATCGCCAGACTAAGAGAAGCACTCATCAACGATAACGACTTAGAAAAGTAAGTAATCCGAACTTTATAACCAGGATGTTCTTTTGTAAACTGCAAAATTCCTCAAGTTCTGTATTGTCTAACAGCTTTTGTTATACACCATTTTGTTTGTACGTTAAACTACCAATTGTTCCAGCACCTTCTGAGCCAATCTGTTGTGAAACTTTTTGTAAAAATAAGTTATTGCACTACAAGTCCATGCGGAAAAAGGGCTTTTGTATTTTTTGAAGTCAAAATTTCATTGCCAGTTTAAATGTTTGTATATTTATTATTTATTTGAGCAACTATGGCGCTTGCAATATATCACAGTCATCCCTTATCGACAGCTGAATAAGAGCTCGAGCCGCGCTGCACCTGCTCGCCTTATTTGAGGTAGGTCTGGACAGTGCGATACGTGATTTTAAATCGTGAATGCTTTTTATATACCCTTTTTTGATAAATTTGAATAAAAACATGAAATCCCCAATAAATCGAAAAAAAATTGCATTTGGTATGTCGATTTGCAGCGTTCTTTTTTTGAGATACAGGCATACAGGGTGTTAAAATTATCTGAAAAAATGGCATTGTAATGAAATGTCCTGTGCAGGAAACATGAATAAAAAAATTTCAATTTGAAAAAATTAAATCTCAGCCTAAACTGGTGGAGGTTACCTTTTCCTCAAAACTTGTCAATGGATTTTTTTTTGCCATTTTTAAATGCAAATTTTATTTGGAATGAAAATGTCTTGACTTTTTGGTACAAATTAGCAATTTATAAATATGATACTTTAAAATGAATGTAAAAATTCTTCAAATGATTACACAAAAAGTGTTCAAAATGCCATCTCTGTGCCGCAATAGTCCATGAAACATTTGAAAAAAACTGAAAACTTCGGAAAATATTTTATCAACAGTAAAATCAGTAAGGCTTTTCCTTTTATCGGATAAATTTCTCTTTGTAACAAAATAATTTTGCCAATCAGTAATTTCGGTCGAAATTTTTTAGGAGTTACGGTTATCATGCAATTCTAATAGCTCGGCAAAAAAATTTTACAAATTTGTTTTTTCTGAGTTCACGGACTTGAAAAATTTTTTTCAGCTAAGCCATTGCATGGGCCAGATAGCTTGTTTATTCAGCTTCAATTTCCTTTTATTTAAATTTCGATTCGACCATTTTTCATCGAAATATCGGACTTTTAATGGAAAAGCATCCTTTTTTTTTTGTCTTCAGTCATCGATATCTCGGCGACAAATGATCGTACAGAGAATTGAAAGACAGTTCGAAAAATGGAATAAATTTCCTACAATATGCTGCCACAATATTTCGAAAAAAAATGTTTTTGTATCTTTTACACCAATTTTAAAAAACAGGAGAAAACGGTAATTTATGATTTTTTAGAAAATTGACGGCTAAATTAGAAATATTCACGGAATGACTAATGTTAAGCATGACTTTTACAGTTTGATATACCCTGAAGAACCCTGCGAAGTTTCATTTCGATCTAGCGAACCGTTTCACAGTCAAAATTTTGAAAAAAATTGAAGGGTCATATTTTTTGAGCTTAAACACTTCATAACCATGATTAAAAAAATGTTTTTGAGGTTTTCTCACATTTTTACCGCAAATAACGTTTAAATTGATGAAAAAAATAAAAAATATTTAATTTTTTTTTTCAGAGAAATTTTGAAAAAAAAACAGTTTTTTAAGTGATTACAGACTGCATGCATAAAAATTAATTAGAAATTTGTATCAAAAAACGGTATGAATGGGGTCGAAATCTGGTTTGGTTCAACTTTTATTTTAATTTAATTAAAAGTTGATGAACAGAAGCATAGGACGAAAATGCCAAACCGTACTGGAAACAACTGGATTTTGTTTTCTTCAATGTCCGGAAGGTTTTCCAAAAGAACAAAAAAAAACTTTTTTCGGAAATTTTTCGTAACCTAATAAAAAATTTCTACCGAAAGATTTAAAAACTAGAATTTTAGAGCTTTATAATGTTTTTTTTTTTAATTCCCGATACGACCATTTTTCACCTAGATACAGTCTGTCAAAAATCACTCTTTAATTTTTTGCATTAGTGTATATTCAGAAAATAATCTTTAGAATATCCCAGACAATGTTGCTATGGATTCAAAAATGTAAGCCATGCAATCTGAAGATTTTGAAAGCATTTGCAAAATAATGTTTTTTCTGAGCTGATTTTTAGTTTGCATTTACATTGAAATTTATTTTTTGTAGTTATAGAGAATTACATAATATTTTGTTTCTTTCGTCGTTAACATGAATTTTTATTTATTTTTTTTCTTTTTGTCGTTTTAAATAAAAAAAATTACATATACAAAAAATAGCGTATATTTAAGTTTTATCAGAAAAAAAATAATAAAATAAAATAATTGGTAATAAATTTAATATTAGAACTCTATTCCAAAGCAATAATACATTAAGGACATTTTTATCAAAAACTCGACCGCAAAATGAGATACAATTTAAGAGTACATTTATGTTGGCGAAACTTCAAAACTTATTCAATCATTTATTTATTTATTTATTGTTTTCCGTTCGCAGATAAGCAATCAGAATTGAAAATCAGATTATTTAAATTGAATAAACATTATTCAGAATTAGTGTCGCATTTTTTTTGTAGAAATTCCGTTTTTTGACAAAGTCGTCCGTAAAAGTTATTAAGAATAGTTGGCACCTACTAATATCCTATGAAAAAAAAAACAAACATTAAAATTCAAAGTTTCTAACATATTCAAAATAAATTCGATAGTGGAGAAAAATTGAGAACATAAAGACAATTCCTGATAAACCCTTTCGTAAAAATTTAAGCTGAAGGTGTAGCAAATTTCTAGCAAAATCCCACCCTTACGTGACTCTTTCGTGGCTCCTCTCGCCTGCAGAATTATTAACACTGAATTTTAAACGAGCACGCCGTATTGAATCCCGAATCGAATCCTCCCAATAAGCGTAAATTCAATTACGGACCGCCACCAACTCGGTCTCACCTAAATAGGAGTGCATCGAGCTATGTAACCTCCTTAGCAGGCAATAAAATTGCATCTGGTCTGGAAAATTGACTTCACATTAATACAAACATTGACAAAGGGGACCGGCTTCGACCTGTCGGTTCGATTCGTGAGGTTCTCGCTAGGATGGCTTATGAAATGGTCCATATCTAAAGGGAGAACTCGTATTACGGTTTTTATATGGATATTTCTATTAGTTCGGGATATATTTTGAAATAGAATTGGAATCGATTAAATGGAGGTGATAGAAACTGGAGGAAGACAGTCACTGACAGATTTCTAAAATTTCCGGAAAAATTGGGTGAGAAAAAAATTGAAAACATTGAGAAATCGAGAAAAGTTTAATTAAAATGACCCAAGGAGGTATATCGGGTTTACTCAAATGCACAGATGTACTTGAAATTTATACAGCGTATTACCCAGTGCTCCCTCTGTGTCGTATTTTTTTGAAATTTTTTTTGAATCTAGATTTTGAGATCTTGTTCTTGAAAGTTGTTCATTTTAACATAGGTTTATATGGCGAAGATGGTCTGTGCGGCTCTTTTTTTGCCCATAACTGAGAAAAAAATGTAGAAATTGTGACACAAAACTTTTCCATAGATAGTACACAGTATTATCTTATTTTTGATGTAAAACTAATGTAAGTTTTGAACATAGTACAGCTGTATTAATTAGAAACAGAAACCAATAATTGCAATTTCTGTCTGACTTGAGGATTAATGTGGCAACGTTGCAATCGGCTCTGACAGCAAGGAGGGAATACATTTGACTTGATAAAAACGAAATTGATTTCAAACATATACATTTTTCCTAAATCCCATGTACATTGTTATCAACAATAAATTATCCACAACAGATGATTTTTTGTAATGTTTTTAAAAAACTAGATTAATTAAAAAATACTAGGGAGCTGTGATATATTTATTGGAATAAAAAATACAGTTGATAAATCCTTTTAATATTTTTAATGGTTTATAAAAACATCGTAATCATTACCCAGCAATAATTAGGGTTACATACAAGTTTTCTTTACTTGATTAATATAATTAGTAATACTTGAGATAAAGGCATTTGTACGGAATAACAAAAGAACATAAATATTTCTCAGCAAACTTTATATCTAAAAAATTAGTTATAGTTGCAAAAGTTTTGTAACATTACTAAAATAGAGCTGGAAAACACGAACAGTGAGTAATAATGTAATTTCTATCACAGAACCTTCAAAATTGCATCCAACATTTTCTTTGACTTGGACGAGAGATGGGCGCGAGTGTCATTTCATTTCTTTAGAACTAAATTAACATAATTCTCGTTGTTTTACCAATTCACATAATTTACGGATTTTAAATAAAGGATACAAATCTTCGCGAGGATAATACGATATATTTGCTATATATAATAATTGTATTGTACATAGTTTACACATAATACATTTTTGAACGCGTACGCATCTTTACCCGAATTTGAGGCGCAATATCTCCGATGTCCGAGGTCTGTAGGTTCGCAGTGTGTACAACTGCTAGTCAATTATTAGCGCTGTTGCCACATCTACATAGTCTTTATACGTTAATTAAATATAATTTAAAACTACTTAAATATGATATTTTTATGTTGTTAATTAGTCAATATGTATGCTATGTGCATATGAGTAGATTTCTTTGCTATATAGATAATGTTTATCACAAATAATTTCAATAGAATTCAATTTTTTCAAATTGGCAGCGGGCTTTAGTCCCATAAGAAAAGCATAGGACCCCCCTGCGCTCCTCACTTGCCTCGGACCCCGATATATCTCCTTAATTTATGATATAAACTTAAGATACACCCTGAATATTAAAAAATTATAATTTTTAGAAACCTCCAGTCATTCCTCAGCAATTTAGCTTTTTAGTTCGGCTGCGCACCTTTAGAAAATCGAAGCTATGTAAAAAAAGAAGTGTAGCTTCCATTTTCCGGTTTCTTCTTCCGTAGATATCTTGAACCTGTCCACTGCCATGTCCATTTAGTAGACTGGTTGATCCGAGACATTGGTTCCATAAGTTCGCCATCAATTATTTCAATTTCCCTTTTAAGAACTGTCCAAGGGTTTCTTAGTACCATTTTTGGCCCTCATCTTCCACATAAATCTGCACAAATGTCTCCATAAATCAAATCCACATCCGGACAACCCCTTAACATCCTAGATTTGATCCTATCGGAATTAATAAACCTTTTTAGTAGTGACGTCACATACGCCAAATAATAGGCAACCCCATAGTGCACATTTTCATGAAGAATTTCTCAATATTTTTACTTATCGATTTTCGACCTTATGTGCTTTGGACATAAGTGCCAAAAGAATGTCTTCTTTATCATGACCTTAAATATCGCGATATTCCGGCAATATTAGAAATATTTAAGAAGTTTCAATGTTACTGAGCATGCGCATTAAAAGCGAAATAGCCTCGCAACAGGATATCATTTAAGAAAGATTTGGTTGTGGTTAAGAGTACGTCTATAATAAACCACTTGAAGAAAAAAACACTCGATAAACACACTCACAACACCAAGAAAAACAATAAAAATACTTAGGAGAACTAGAAAATGTCAAGATTAAACAAAAGAAGAGAAAATACGCTAATGATGACAGCGATAACATATCAACAAGATCTCACCTGCGTATGAGGCTATTCTTTCCAAGCATGAGCATTAGGAACACGGCTAATATTAAATTTTTACTTTATTTAAATTTAGGAATATTCTTTTATATCGTTTTTTATAAGTTTTAAGCACATTAGTGCATCTATTTTACGAAACACGCGTTGGTTGTTCTTAAATACTTCCAAATCTTTGTAAAAAAAAGGAAGTTCATTTTTATAACCTCTATGTAAATAGTACACAAGGGTCAGATTCGATCTGTCCAATTTCAACTATGACAAATTGTTGTGGGTTGCCTAAATATGTGACGTCACACTAAATGATTCTACTGCTTTTAGCAGTGCATGTTACAGTAATTAACAATTCGTTAGTTTTTAACATTCCGTCTTAGTAAATACATTTCAAAGCATTCAACGACCAACACTTCTGCATGGAAAACTACAAAGTTCCAAATACATGCTCAAGGAATTTTATTTAAGTACGTGTCACATTTTTCTTTTGTGGAATCAACATATAAAAAAAACATCGCGAATAAATCTTTGTTCAAGAAATATTAAAAGAGAGTGTTTGCAGTAATTTTGACCACCTTTTTTTGTTTAATATCCACTAAAGCATGTAATAAATATTCAAACATACTGACGACAACCCAGTAGAGACATATCGTGCTTCAACCAAACTACAGTAACGATTTTCGTACTTTCGTAAAGCGTAAACAATAATTGGACTATTTCCCACTAGATGGCAACGCTTGTCTTGTCCGTATAAAACAAATCTGATCATATTTGTTCATTACTATTCTATTTCTATTGGCCTTAGTCGAGTGTGCAGGCACACTTCAACTTACAGTTAATAATAATAAAATTGATAATATTGAGGATATTACTAATAATGCTTATTTTCCAATAAGTCGATACAAACAAAACTTCGATAACGCGTTCAGATATGACTGCTGAAGCTGTGGATTTTTTGTATCAAATTTATTTCTAAAAATGTATCGAAGTAAATCGACATGTTGTAACACCCTATATATAAAAAGACAATATATTAACCCTATTTCTCGGTTATTCTAGAACTTTAATTGATGCGTTGAAACGATGGCAGCACCCTATGCCTCTTAAATTTGCGGTTCATGAATATTTCGGTACCTATAGGGGTGCTTGTAGACGACCCAAGCGTGGCATTAAATTTTGAAGTCGACCCTAAGCGTTCTAGTTCAACTTTTTACTTACCTTACCCTCGTAACTATCGCTAACTGTGCCGCACGCAGTGATAATAAATTTGCTAATTGATAATATTACATATACAAAGTGGTTACTATAATACGAACCGTTATCGAGTGTTTGTATGCAAAAAGATTATGTTCCAAATGGATAAGCATAAGAATAGACTGCATTTTTGCAGTTATTTTAATTTATTTGTTTGTGAAGCGGGCTAGCCTTTTATATAATTGGACAAGGTTAGTTGATAGCTAGGTTGGCCCATTCCTGTTTTACAAACCAGAGCAAATCAACGAAAGAAATATCCGAGGTTGATATCGCAGTTGACTATTTTACAACCCCGAGATCGGAATGAACTCAATGATGTAATATATAATTAAAAAAGCTGTGAATGTGAAAAATAGGGCAGTTTTCTAAAATTCGTCGGTTACACTTAAATATTTTGAAGAGATAAAAATACTTCTCTTGTTTATTTTCTATTATAACCAGCTTGTCATTGTTTAATCTTTGGACTAATCTGAACAACATTAAACACTGACATACCGTACTCAACTTGAATATTTAACAAAAGGAAAGTCCCGAGAAATAAGAGAGTTATTTTAAAAATGTAACGCTTTGCAAATGTCGTTAAACTCGAGGTGCCAAGTGTTTTGTCCAGTATTTTTAGCCAACTATATATAAAATTGAAAAAAATATTTTTATTCAGTTACAGCTGTCTGGAATGTAGTACGAATTATTTTATATGCCTAGGTCCTAGGTATTAGTTCAGGTCATACCGGATGATTCAAATTGCTCGGTTTTCAAGGGCTACTGCGAATTTGTAGACGAGTCTGGAGCTCCTTTTTCGAGAAAATAACAATTTGAACCACCATGTACTTATACGCTACTAATTTAAAATGTCACTGCTAAGAATGACACTAGTGTGCCATAAGAAAAAATTTAGATCATTACTAAAAATTCTAATTTTATTTCGAACTAAACTAAGATTACTTCCACGTCCCATTTGAATAATCCACAAATTTATTCGACATTAAAAATCTATCTATTCAAGTACCACTTAAGGCATAGGCTCCATAGGAATGATAATCAAAACTGTACACACGTTTCGTAGTTAATATGTTTCCTTTAAGAACAAACAAATACAATCTGAGATTAATATTCGAAATGTTCCAATTTTTCTCTTCAAATTGATGATTCAGAATCTAGAGCAGATTGTATCTACTCTTCACGATAATATTTACACCATTTCATGCAATGTTTATGTTGCTGGATATGGATACTTCCAAGGAAAACAATTATTTAATTATTATAGCAAGCAAGGACTTTTTAATATTAATGCACTATTTGTATCTGTGTCGTGTCTGTCCTACGCCTATCGTCATTGTTGCCACTGTCGTTAATGTCATTGTTATATAGTTTTATCTCGTTTAAAATATAAACATATTTAATTACAGGTAAGTATACCCAATTTACTCCGAAAAAACGACATATGACACATATTTTGTTCATTTTTCAGCGTGTGGAAAAGGAGTCCCAGTCTAAACCCAGGAGATGACTTTCCCATGTGGGGGAAGTACTACGAGAATCAGCATGAGAAGCAGAAGAAGAGAAAAACCGACTTTGGCACCGACAGGGGATATTCTGGACAACAAGAACACAACATGCGTATGAACAAGTATCTGCTGGAATATGTTGGATAATTGAGAATATTTAGGCTTCAGGGGAAAAATGAAATATACATATTTGCCTCCTTTGACAATATTATGATGTACAAAGTGTTTTGTATTTGACAACTCATACTAATACCATTTTGTTTCAACCAAAATATAAAATCTTCTAGGTGTATATAAAATTTGATTATATTTTTGAAATTTGAGAAATTAGTTCGTGTTTCTCCCTCTTACATGGGTAAATTCGGTGTGTCAATTTCATTTTTCTCGATATTGTAACTGATGACAATGTACAGTATTATTCCTAGCACAAATTGTTTGTACATAGACAGAGCGATGCAAAATGTAAATCCTTAAAGATATTATTGGAACAGTGTAAGTTTTTTACAAAACACAAGACGCTAACATTTTTTCGGAACATTCTTTTATCTGAAACCATTGTTTCTTACTTTTTTCTTCGCTGACTTTGATAAGGCGCCTCTTATACACTATCTGTCGATCTACATGATATTTATAAAGATACATATTTTTTTTATCGATAAAATATTTTGAACAATAGCTCTACTTTATATGAAAACTGTTTAGGCAGTTTCCTACTAAAATATTTCCAAGGAAACAACATTATTTTGCATGGTCCTGTCGTTCGATAACGTAATTTATTTATTGTATTCAAATGAAAAGTAAACAATTGATAACAATAGATATTGTTATTTTATTACGGTAAGCGTATTTTTTTATTTGAAACGTGTATACATACATACTATTGTAATTTTATGATGGTAATTCACGATAACAATGAAGAAAATAGCCGTGTGATTATGTAACTGAAGAGATAAACGGAAAAATAGGTTTTTTAAAACCAGTTATGATACAGAAAATGTATTCAAAAGCATTTACACTACGTCGGATGTCAAATAAAAACATTATTATCTTTCGCTCTTTTAGATATGTTCTAAGGAAAGTGAAAACATCGCGTAGGGCAAAAGCAGGCATTAATCAAGTTGGAGGGAGCACAGAACGTATGACAGGCACTGAATATAAAAAATAGGACATATTCGTCATTCGTAATCGGGTTAATTTATTCGAAAATTCAATTCCGGGTAAAACATTTCACGTCAAGTGTCTTCACACGAACATATGGTGTGTAAGCAGCTTAAGCCATGTTTATTTTCGTTTATCGTCAATTTGACGCGCTACCTTGAACAAACCGCATACGGGATGTAACTAGGATGCTTGGTCAAACTTTAATGACGTTTCCTACCAATTATCGAAAAGGTTTCTATAAACGGGTGTTTGCTTGGTTTTCGAGGCACAGGATGTTAGAGTTAAAAAATATCGTGTTTTTTTAATTCTAAGAGAACGGTTGAAGCAATTTAATTCGAATATACTGTGCAGTTATAGTTTTTAATAAGACTCTTTCAGTATGACGTCGCATATTTGGGCAACCCGCAACATATTGTCACAGTTGAAATTGTAGGTACAGGGTTAGTCACTATAATCTGACAACTTATTGCGAGTTTATTATTGAAATTACAAAAAAGTTTGTTATACAAAAATTTTAGCTTTTTTATAAATTTTTATAATACTATAGCCAAATTAAAGATTTTTTTTTTAATGGAACACCCTATATATTAGTGCATACTTAGCTTCGTTAAATTTTTCTCTTTTCAAAAATATATAATATGTTACTTTTTGATTCAGGACATTTCGACATATTTACACTTTTTTCACATAACCTCAAAATTTATTAATTTATTATTATTTTTCCTTTCATTTCTGTTATATTCTCTTTCTTTGCAAATGAGTTTCATCCTACTATAATTTTTTTTGGTTTCAAAAATTATCGACCCTGGTCTAAAATTGCATTTTTTCAATTACAAAAGTGCGGCTGTTAGCGTTATAATATAATAAGGGGCCTTATGAGGGCTTATTTGTTTCGTCTTGATTTATATTTTCAAGATATGCAATTGGAAATTGTAATTTCATAGGCTAAGCTTCTCAAAACGGCGTAAAAACGCAAATAGTGTAATTTGTTTATAAGGTTTTTCGTTAATAACTGCGAAGAATTAATATTTTTAAAAGCCGCTTTAATATTCGTAATCCTGGTAATTTTTCACGGATTTAAAAAAAAATGTTCTAGAACCATATTTAGCAGAGATAGCGTTTTTTTTAACTTGTTTATTTACAAATATTAAGACTTGAAATTTCGGGAATAAATCAATCAACCCTTAAACTTCATAACAACGATTAAAGATACCGAAAAAATGCATTTTATAGTAATTTTTAACCCTTTGAAAACGTCCTCGAATCCATTTTTACACCTGAAATGTGGTTGGGGAAATAAGCCAGAAACGTTCCGAGACTTCAAATCTTAACTGCTCGAAACTTTTGCGATATTTCCGGTAATTGTGGACCGTTTAACTTTTTTTTTTTAATCTGGGGTAGCGCATGAAAATAATAACAACTGCAGAGTCCATTTTGTTATAATTAATTATTAATTTGTTATAAACTATTAATTTTGTAAAAATAAAATTTTTTCGCATTTTTTCGAGAAATAATTATTGACAATGGTACCAATAATCAACTTTCTTAAAAAACAATATTTTTATATAAAAAAAATTCAGGAAATGGCATATTTTTTATGTATAAAGTTTATTTTAATGAGAATGTCAGTCATTTGTTTGTTCCGGGTGCCTCGTCCATAGCCACTGCGATCCGTCAGACATAAAAATCGATTTAGTAAAAATATCGAGAAATTCTTCATGACAACGTATACCATGGGGTTGCCTATTATTTGGCGTATGTGACGTCACTACTAAAAAGGTCAATTGTCATATCATAATCACAGAGTCACAGACACATATTTATAGAATATTTAAATTAATTTGCGACCATTAAGTTTAAGCATTTTATTTACACTCTGTATAAGTCAAAGAGGAGAACATAGATCAATACATCTTTGAGTAACAGCATTGAACGTATCTGACGCAATATTTAAATGAGTTGCAGGCACAATAGTTTCTGCCGGCTGCGGTTATTTTTAGAGATCCAGCGCTGATAAAACCTTACGCTTTATTTATTTCAGGCGATTGTTTTACTTTTATCTAGATACTAAGAAACAAACGACGGCCTCTAAGAGTTCGTTTGTTTCATACCCACTGTTTACAAAATATACTTGACACTATCTCGAAGGCCGCACAATTTAAAAACAAATTTTACGCGATTACAGAAACGTGTTAGTTATTGTGACAAAACAATTCGTCACTTTTTCAAGCAAAACATTGTTTACAAGACGAAATAAGATAAAAACACTAAATAGTAAACTTGAAAACAGATATTTGAGCGCAATAATCGCCTGGCGAGCGGCGGCCGGTGTGCGCGCACCCTTAGGACCCTGAGGCGATTGCACAGCCCGAAACGTCACAGCACAGACATTCTACCATTCTAGGAATGGACCGGCAACGTAACGCGCGAGTAAACAAACGGCCTGTATTAATTTAACTCATTAGAACATATTTTGAAAGCGTGTAAAGAGATGGGGCAAACGAGAAACGGAGAAGACCGCAGTCAACATATCGTGTCTAGGCACGAGTGAAGGAGAGTAAATGGCGTACTTTGTATGCAGCCTGCCCGCGGCAAAGGAAGCGAAATATCGAATTTGGGAGTGATATGGAGATGACGTCAATGGGGTTCGAGTACTATGCAGTTTTAAGCTATTGCGGTAGTTGATGAATGAGATATCAATAATGAGGCAATCTACAGATAAAATAGAACTCGAAAGGTCCATGCAGATGTACATTATGTGTATTTTCACATGAGCATTTTTGTGTCAGGAATTTAATTTTGATGTAAGATTTGCAATAAAGTCAATTCTTATCCCAAAAGTAGAATAAAATCCTTATTTTGGAGTTACCAAATACTGGGAACTCTTTTTAATTAAAAATGTATCTAATTTTTCATTAATAGCTCGCGAAAAGAATATTGTTATTTATCAATTTATTCTGATTGGAACCGGAGTCACGACAGCATTGTCTTCATTCATTAAAGAAATATTTATAACAAAGTTTAATACCATTCCTGTTACCCCGTTTGTTCTTAGGATTTAATATATTTTATATTTGACGTCCTACACACAAGAACTTTGTCTTTGATCGACAAACGGGAAAGCTGTTTCTGTGCTAAATGCTGTAGCGATTGATGTGACATTTGAACTTTTGAGGAACGTGATCGAATATTGAATGGAAATAAAGGTAATGCAGAGCTAACAGGTTATTTCTGATTAACGTGCGTTTAAAAATTAATCTGATGATAATATTATTTAGCTTAATATAGGGCACTTCATAGAGTAATCAAAGTTCTGAGAAGGCTCTGTATTTTTTAAGCAAAATGAAAAGTAATAGTTAACTTGAAATTAATTAGGTAATATCAACAATAATATGCCAGTTAATAATGATTTTATCGATGACTAAAATAATTTCTGAAAAATCTATTTCACAATGGAGTTGTTTTCTATATTAAGTCGATTAATTGATTGTCTGTAATTATTTATTTATGACACATGTCTACTGCCTTTTTACTTAATTGTATATTAGTGCCATACGGCAAAAAAATATATAAATAACCTTTTACGCCAATCAGTTAAGGGACTGATTTCTTAAATTTATATTTGCCTAACCACAAATATCTTACATTGGAAAAGTAGGACACTCCCTATTGCACTATAACACATGACAAATTCAAGGTTTCGAAATTCTCTCTGTTTTGATTCTCAAGATGTCAGCTTGGACCCTTTAAGATTAAATAAATATCGCTTTCTTCTTGAGAAGAGTCTACAACTTAAGATTAAGTCCTCTAGCCGGTATTTATATTTGCTGTGCGTGCTAGTCAGAATTTCTCCTGAAGAAGAGAGCGATGTTTCTCCCGAAACGTCAAGCAGTTTAATTCGACGAAGCGGCAACCAACTCAAAGGTTGTTTGTCAGGAAATTTCGGTAGCAATTCACAAAATCACTTTTTCATTGTATATTTCTGTACAAAGAGTCGACTAATTTCTGGTCTTATCAAATTTAGTCAATGAAGGTCACCCTTTTCAAACCAATAGACACTACGTTGTAAAAGCATTATGTAATTATCGAAACCAAAACACCAGGAATATAATTATGTGATTTTTATTTTATTTCCATATTTTGCTATTTCAAGATGAAAAAAACCAGCACACATTCAGATTAAAGTATAAGAGTATGAAGTAATAGTACAGGAATTAGGTGCCTAATTTTAGGTGGTAAGTTCTATGAGACTTGAATTTTGGCATCTTCATAGTTTTCTTAGTGCTCCTATCTCAATTTTTTGCCTCATCAGTCTCGTCACAAACATGAGGATCAATCTCTCAACAGGAAAAAAAAATATATTGAAAGTAAATAAAAATTTACTAAAGTGGAGTTGACTATATTAACAATAAGAAAAGATGCAAATTTTGAGTTGTTAGAGTTTTTAACGGTTTTCAACTTACTGATAGCTGTTTCCCCCAATATCATTAGTTAAAAAGTTAATGTCGCTATGTGGCAATACTAGTCTTGCTTTCATGGCACTTACAGATTAACGGGTCACTCTCTGCCAGTAGGCATAGAACAGCATTGACAATTAAGATATGACATACTTTGTAGTTTATATTTCATCTGCACCTAAGACAATCTTAGAAAAAG